TATGTTTACGCCTATCCGACCTATCTTCAAATTTTGCGTTATAAAAGACTTATTTACTGCGAAATGTTGGGGGTGAATGTATCGCAATTTTTCAGGATTTAATTCATAGCGATATTTATGGAAGTTAAATTTACATTTTCAGTTGAAGATGGAAGTAAAGACAAAGACAGTACCTCGAAGAAGCGTAAAGGTTCCACAAATGACGGAAAAGGTAAGTCACCGCTCGACAACTGATCTTCGGTATTCACCAAGCTGTCAAATCATATGACCCTGATTCGAATAGGATTATCTCCTTACAAGAATCTACGTCAAAGCGTTACGACTCAAACATTCAATAGAAATCCCTTTTGACTAAGGTTTGATTCAAACATAGTTTGCCTTTGTGAGTAGTGTTCTTAAAAAGCACAATAAAAAATAAAAGATAAAAAGCGGTATCCTTTTACACAGCCACCTGACTAAGAGATTTCAATCGAACGTAATAGTACTTGATAATATTATTAACTATAATTGCTCGCTGATCCGGATTTTATTTTTTTTCTAAAAATCCATCGTACCTTACATCGTACCATCGTTCCATCGTACCATCGTACCCCCACGATATTTAGATGCCCTTCAAATAAAATTTTTGTGAAGCACGTGCTCTTTGGCTTCAGGACGGAAGGCTGAATGTAGAAGTAGCCTATATTTGTTAGGTTATCATATTTTTGGATGGGGGCTTATTCGAGGGGGACTTATAAAATTATTATAGACAGGTCCTAAAATAAGAAATTTTTACAGATCCACATTTCTTTATAAAATTTTGGCGTAGTACTTTGCTACGATTGGCACAACGGGCGTGACAAATATAGAAACTGCCACTATAGTGCAAATAGCATGTTTAAATTGGGGAAAATCTTAAATGAAAGAAGTATAAGAAGCTGATTCTTTTCAATACATTGATTGGGTTAATAAGAAATTAGAAACATATAGTGATGTCTTAACTTATGAGCAAATAGATATCGAAAGGAAACCCTTTGACATGGTTTGTTTGGATCTCCGTCAAAGTTATTTTTCTTCCCTTTCTCCTTCGAAAATCTCCTTAAATCAGTTTCGTTTCCCAGACTTTAGTGTTTTTGGTTTTTTGAAACCATATCTTTGTAGCTGTTCACGGAACTCGAAACTTGCGATATTTATATATTCAGGGGCGAAACTACCGGGGGGTGTGGGGGGGTGTAACACCCCCCAATCCAAAAAATAGTCGATTTCGCAGGGCAATCGAAGATTTTGCAGGGCGCCAAGAACGGAACAGGTATGTAAGGAAATGCTCCGTTTTGCATTTTAGAGAACGGAACAGGTATGTAAGGAAAAGCTCCGTTATTTGCAATGCGAAAGCATTTCTTACCGAAAGTCATAGCCAATGGATGCAATGATTGATGCATATGTTTATGAGGGCAAGGTTGAGTCCATGCAAATTAATTTAAGTTGTAAATTATTTTCATGACAAGCACGGCGTCACTGGAGGTGAATAAGAGGCTGAAGGCCCTCACTTTGGTCAAGATCTGGAGGGGAATAAGAGGCTGAAGGCCCTCACTTATAATTGTTTCTATTACTTTTTAACAGTGCAGGAACTAAAAAACATAATAAATCGTTAAGATACCGATTTTGTTTCATCTAATTGCTAACTTTTTCACGTATATTTTTATTATTTTTCTTTTATTTGCATTAATTCAGTAAATCACTTTCTGTATCATTGCAATGTTTTAATTTTGGATGTGTAAACATGGCCTTCTCGATGCAAGAAACTGCACATTTCTGTTCAGGAAATAAAATTCCCCCAATCAAAACAACATCTTCCTCTGTCATTCACAACTACGTGCAATCTGAAACGAAAGGTTGTCGTTTCTTTCCTTCCCCAACGTCTAATACTAGAGTTTTAGCATGACATCCCCCTCCCTATTTTTCCCAATAAACAATAATATTTTCAATAAACAATCAGTTCTTTTAGCACAATAGTATTTTGCTAAAATTTTGTCTGAAAGATGCTTTTTAGCCCTTTAACAAGGTATAATTTCAAAAATTTTCTTCACGTCGGACCCAACCATGGTGGGTCCTCCTACCTCACTAAACTTGATTCTTAGCCCCACTGGGCTAAATTTCGTTGCACTGTCTACATCATGTACCCTCCCTCCCCCCAATTAGCTGTTTATTAGCTAGTATTTTGCAAACCAACATTAAATAAAGTGAATATAAAAGAAACAATTTACGCTCAAGTAGAGAAATAGATATTTCATAGGCAATGAAGTTTCAAGTTTGTTTTTATTGCTTAGAAGTTTGTCCTTGGTAAAGACCAGTGTACACTGGTAAAGCTTTCACTAGTAACCTATAGACAAACCGTTGCTACGAGGTCTGCAGGGCACCACTCAGTTTTGCAGGGCAGAAACCCTTTTCACCCCCCCAAACCTATTGGCCAAGTTACGCCCCTGTATATATTTGTTAAGTGTTTCTGGAGATATGCTGCTTTGCCAACCTGTTACTATCTTTTTGTAGATGGGAATCAACCTCTCTACATCGGCAGAATTAGGGTTTGCTGCGAGAAGGCGTGCCATTGTCTCGCCTGGTAGAATTCCTCTGAGACCAAATCTAAGATCTCTGTGATCTTGGTCATTTATTTCTCGAATTTCAATGGGCAAAAGCAGAGTGAGGCCTTCAAAAGTCATTTTAATTGCATTCAGCCCATCCAATTATTTGTCATCAAATCTTCTCTTCAAAAAATTCGATATTATAAACAAAAACCTCGTTACGGATGGCAAATAATCTCTTCTCTCACTTATGTACAAATTGTGCTTGTCTCTTCTTATTCTCTTTTCGCGTAGTTTGAAAGCATGATCTTTCCCCTCATCTTGTTAGTAACGCAGACACCATGCACCAGCCTATAGGGGGAATGGCTGGAGCCGAGCTAGGGAGCCTGCCCTAGATTTTTTACGGCTACACCCTTTGAAACACCAGAAAACATTTGCTTCTTTGAAAAAAGCAAACATTTAGTAAACTAAAGCTTTTCGTCTGACGCTCTTCAGAGTTTAAAACGTCAGAACATAGATCGAAAACTCTACGCTAAGAAATATATATACCCAGTTGTGGATCGAAATAGGCCAATCAGAAACACGAGCACATGACTGTAAAGGTTGACCAATCAGTGCCGCTTGCCTATTAGAATGTTACCAATGGAGTCCTAAGGTGAAAACAAACTCCTTTTGTCTACACAGTAGCGGTTTTTTCGTGCTTATGTAGATAGATTCTAAAACTGCTAGGTGGAACAACGATCGGGCTTTACCAATAATCCGAAACATGTCGCCATTATAGTTTTTTGCACAATCTGGGTTTTCTAGCAAATGCTGCCCGATAGCAGAATCGCAGGCTTTATTAGTAATTTTGGATTTGCAAGACCGAGGCGGCTGTTCTCTTTGGGGATGTGTTTTGTTTCTAATATAAGATGGAACGTGTTGTTTTATCCCATCCTCCAATCTTTGGGTGGTGCGTCCTACGTAGCCAGAATCACACTGGCACGTGAATTCATACACAACAGAACTTTTTTTTGTGGCAGGAACGCAGTCCTTTGAATGGACGGAAGGGCCTTTTTTGTACTGTAAACAACACGTGGGTTAACCGCGAAGAAACAATTTGTTATGGCCTGTTAGAAACATTCTAATAGGCAAGCGGCACTGATTGGTCAACCTTTACAGTCATGTGCTCGTGTTTCTGATTGGCCTATTTCGATCCACAACTGGGTATATATATTTCTTAGCGTAGAGTTTTCGATCTATGTTCTGACGTTTTAAACTCTGAAGAGTGTCAGACGAAAAGCTTTAGTTTACTAAATGTTTGCTTTTTCAAAGCCATTTACAAGTTTTGTACCACCAAAAGATT